CCCATCTGCAGAGGCAGATGGCTGAAATAGAGAGGCCCAGGACCTCTAAGTTTGTCTTCCAATTGTCCCCATATTTCCCACTACATCCTTTAACTCTCAGAGGCAGCAAGGACACCCAACAGTTTGGAGCGGACCATGTAGAGGAAGAATTCTGGAGACAAACAGACCCCAGGCAATGCCCAGAGAGATGCAGCTCAGAGGGATACAGAAGTACTTCCCTAAGATCAGGCCCACAGATGGAGGCTAAAACTGCAGGACTTGCTAGCGGGCAAATAAGCCCAAAGAAGTCAGCCTCCAGGCAGCAGACTGCTCCTGTAAAAACTGTTTTGGAATGACCTAAATCAATGATTCTCAATTTTGTTATTGTTATTGTATGTGAGTGCAAAGGGGTGGGGGAAAAAAAAATCACACAAAAAAAACCGTGGATTCTCTTCCTATAAAAACAGAGAACAAAATTTGCTACACAATTTTGTGGCACTCACAGATCAGCCAAAGGACTCCCTGGAGATCCATGAGTCCCAGGATTTTTAAAAAGCCTGAACCTAACTAGATCACTAGATAGGAACTAAAGGTCAATGTTACCACATTAGTTACATCTTTTTATTTTGAAACAAAGTCTTGCTAATAGTCTCGGCTGGCCTTGTATTTTTTATGTAGTCTAAGAGGGCCTCAAACTTGTAATGGTTAGGCTTTCTTTTGACCTGAAGCCTGCCTTTTTATATAAAAACAATCTTAGAATTTAGAAAAAAATATAGATTCCCAAAACAAAGTATCCTGGACACATGGTATATAAGATAACCCAAAGTATATTAAAATTTTAATTACATATTAGATTCATAAAATTAGATCAGTGAACACTCTCTACACAATCTTACGGGAAAGAAAAAGGAAAACAACCTTCACTTATTTAGAAAATTCAAATATCCTCACTTTCTACGTTCGTTTGGATTTGTATCCATAGTTATAAAGTTCTACTTCTCAATTTTCCTGAAATTTTCAAATACTCTTAGTATATTAAGTTCTTCTGAAATAGCAGACAAAAGCATTCATGGAAGTCTGTTGAAAAATCAGGGTTTATTCCTTGCTAAAATAACAAGTCCTTCCTTACGAAGCAAAAGAAAAAATATCCATCAATAAAAAACAAAACCCTGATTCATCAAAATAGAAACAAATATATTTAAGTTGTGTCATATATACCATCACACATTCTAAAGGTCCCAGAATAGAACAGTGATGCAAACAACATAGAAGAACACACAGAATCACTAAAACTGACTACAAAAATCAACAATTACAGGTACTACAGGCAAAAATAAACATCTCCCTCTGGAATTTATGCAAATGATTTTGTTCAGAAATAGGAACATGGATGGATATTTTAAAATAACTTCATTTTATTACCTTCAGGACTTTTATGGAAGTAACAGAATTTCTCACGAGGGTATCAACGCCTCCACAACGTGAAGGAGAGAACATTTTGGCAAGCAGAAAGTGACTGCATTCTCCCTCTGCACTACATGGTTATTAACTGCCAGGCTTTGCCTGAATCCTAAGGACACTCTACAGAAAAGCTGGGGGAAAGGATGCCTTCTCTACCCATCTTTGGTTGACAAGTTCTTGAAATGCAAAAGCAAAGAAGGATGTGTGCATAAAAGAACTTCACAAAGATGAGTTAACCTAGCGCCACACTACAAAAACACAGCAGCATACATGAGCTTTCTGAAAGGAACCTTTGGAAAGAGAGTAGCTGGTGAAAACAATATGTGCTTGAGAACCACGTGAGCTGGGTTCAAACTCTGGTTCTATCATTTACTATGTTTATGCCCTTGAATAAGTTACCTCATTTCTCTGAGCTGCAGTCCAGCTTCATAAAGCAGCGATGAAAGCAGGGATACTTTTTCATCTCTGTGGCCCCAGTACCTGGCTGAGTGCTGAGCACACACCAAGTATTCAATCAATACTAGTTCTTTTTGCTCCTCTCACAATTATGTCACCTTCCACTGCAAACAAAAATGTTCTGTAGGGAGCAGATATCTAACCCCTAGTTATTATTTTATGTATTTCCAAGAGTTTTTAATAACCTGTATAGGAGAATGTAGGCAGCGCCACGGAATTCACTGCAGCTCTTCATTTCAATTAAACTACAGCTCTGTCAAGGGATAGATGTGTAAGAGACCCACTAAGTATTTATTAAAAACAAAACTACTTCAAGTCTTGCTACACCGAAGCACCTGAGGGAAGGAGAGAGTGACAGCTTCTTCAGCTGATTTGGATACTATCACTGCCCAGTATCAAAGTACATTTTTGCAGGTAGTGTCTCTGAATTCTAAAATCTGTTCAAAGGTGTTCAGAACATGTGCAGTTTGTGACATCTGGTCACTGCAATACAAAGTCTTTCTACGAAAGTTGAAAAACTTAAGTACTCACAGTGAGAATGAAACCTGAGTTTAATGGAACCTCTTGGTTTAACCCAGTAAGACATAACCACAAACTCTGCTTGGGACTAAGCTATCCTCCCATGAAAACCAAAGATTTCTTTGAAACATCTATAAACCAAAGAGAACTCCAAGGTTTACTGTTTCTGATAAGCTTTCTGCAATACTGATGTGGCTCCTAAAACATACAATTCTGCTTCAGATTTTCTTCGGTATTTGACATAGTTATAAGAAAAGCAATCAAAAAAAAAAAAAAAAAAAAGGAAACAATGTAATTGCCAAAGGATCTGCCAAAGAAATACAGCAGGGTTAACTGTGGTTCTCCCACTTCACTTCTAACTGGTCTTTCAAGTTCTTATATGGTTTTGCCTGAAATAATATATAGTACTCATGAGTGTAGAGAACCACTAACTATACTAAAAATAAATAATAAAAATAACTATAGATACAGAAAATTTAAACGTTGTGGGATGAAAACGACCATACTGAAAGTGTCTGTGATGCTGCAGCAGAACAGCTAAACGTGTAAAGCACAGAAGTAACTACAGAATAAAAACCGTGATTCCATGGAGACTGTAACACCACAATGAACACAACAACAACTTCACACGGGATCTACTCTGACCATGCACACCAAGATCAGCATCGAAGTCTGGTTACTTCACGTAGATTGCAAAGTTAACAAAAATGGGAGGGGGAAAATGTGTACAGATTAGCTTTTAACAATGCATTCATCAAGACAGCTGCTAAATTCAAAAAGAATCATAATCTACCTATAAAATCTGTCCTGGGACATAAAGAACTCCAAAATTAATAATCTTGCCATTCTCCATTTTCCCAGGCCTTCAGTTAAAGTGATGTATTGCTTATATGAAACCACCTGCTGTGTTTGGCATAACCCATGTTACTTGACAGTTCATGTCTAATCATTTTATCATACACACATCTCAAACTTTTCTGCTTCCCGAGAGCCACAAAGTTCAAAAAATCTCAACTTTCTCTCTCTCACTCTCTCTCCACTCCTCCCTCCCTTCTTCCCTCTCCCTCTCTCTCTCTGGTTGCCAACCTGATCTTCTAATTTGGCTTCCAGTCAAATTATTGAACTATGCACCATCACTGAGACAGACCCCCATATAAGTCAGAATGCTTAATCACCCCAGAGTGGAGACAGAGTGGTCTCTGTCCCAACTTTTCCAAAGACCACATGCAGGGTCCCAAGAAATATGTCGAAATCTAGGGCTAAAAGGTTGGTATTCTTATACACCATTGGGAAAATAACGAAATCTCAGACAGAATATTCCTGACACCCTGAAAAATGCAAATACTGAAAATGGTTTTCTTCTCTGTTCATAGATCTGTCACAGAAGAAATGAACAGTTTTTAAGGGGTGGGAAATAAGGCACACAGCGCCCCAAGACAAGACGCGGCGAGATGCCAAGGATTCACTAGAAACCTTGGCCAGATTGCTAATGGTCCATAAACCCTAATTTGGAGAACACAGGTCTTCAAGCTCAAAATTGAATTATACTGCCTTATTAGATACCACACTAGTGAAACCAAAGTCATATTAGTCATAACTGAAACGAGGAATACTCTATGTACACAAATGCAAAGTGCCTGCTTATGCATTTTTAATTGGATCAAATAAAACTGAAGCTGCAAACAAACTCAAATTTCAATTATCTCACTAGTGCGGGGATTTCCTAATAACATCTTTTAAAAAACCAGTAAGCTGCCAACCCTCTGCATAGCTGAAAGGGATGTCCCTGGAAATTTGGGAGCGACGGACTCCTTCACTTCTCAACATCGAAAAAATAAATTACCCCGAAAGGGACAAATCCTTTTATTTTTTTCTTTTTATTTCTAAGCTTAAACATACCAATCTAACAGTGCACAAAACTTGGTAGCGGGACTGCTAGACCCCCTTAGGGTTCCAATTTTCAGGCGAGTGCTCACTAGGGCGTAAGAAGGGGGCGGAGGGGGTGGGCCAACCGAGGACGCACCGGGGCCCCCGCTCCTCCCGAAGCAGCAGCCTGGCACCAGCCCACCCTCCTCCAGCCCTGCAAACAGACGCAGGACGCGAAAGCAGCAACTTCTCCGCGGGGGCGGCCGCGGGGACAGCGGTCACCCCACCCTCCCCCTACGCCGTCGGCCTCGGGGGTTCCTCGGCGCCCGCC